TGCTGGAGGGAGTCATCAGACTTTCTTTTAGACAGCGATGAAGTATAGAGTCGTGAGTGCTTTGAGCAGACTTTAGATTATGGGTTTGAGAAGATTTCGACCGAATAAAGTTTTTGATGCATTAAAGAAACTGTCCTCCAGCTCCCCGAGCTCCCAGAGACTGATATGTATTCGGCTTCCTTGAGTATATATATATATATACACATATATAATATATATATACATATATAATAATGTTATAGCCTTCAAGAACTTCAACAAGATAGAAAATGCTAATATCTACCCTTCATGCCTAAAACTTAATACTACAAATACCGTGCAGCATAATATAGTCTACTTTGATTTGCATATTATAAATTACAATTTTTTAAAAGTGTATGACAAAAGAAGAGAGTTCAACTTTTCAACATTTAAATTAGCCAACTGGAATCCCAATATTTCTAAAAGAGTCATCCTCAACACAATCTACTCACAGCTGCTTAGAATTAAAAGAATCTGCAATGCAGCAAAACACCTTCAAGAAGAAGTAATACGTGAAAATTTTGAAAAATAACCTCATTCCTCAAAAAATAATTAAAAATACTTTAAAAAAAGCTGGCATTAGCCTTGCCAATTTTTCGAGTTAGATAATGAAATTTTATACTTAAAGCCCAATGGGACGGTATAAAGTGGATGGCAGATTCTGAAGATCTAATGTATAAATGTACAGATAATTCTTGTCACAACGTCTTTTTTCCTCTTAAAATTTGGCACAATACTTTTAATACTATTTTTAAATAGTTTTTCAAAATATTTTGATGGCCAGTTCTATTCTGTTATTAACTTACGGGCGATTTTTGTTTCTGGCAGCTTGAAAGCTATCTAGCTTGAAGAATTACGACTTTAATTAACAAATTACTATTTTTTTCATTATTTCTGTTACTTTAGAGGCCATTTTAGGTATTTTTTTGCTGAATTAGCCATTTTCACTTTTACCTAGTCCATTTCCCTCAAACTACTATGAGAAGACGCCATTTTGAACTTTTTCCACATTTTTCAACGCCTTTCACCCCCATTTGCTATGAGTCAGGTTGCCGCCAATGGACAGTCACTTGGCATTGGCTATTGCCCAGTGACATTGTTTTCCCCATTTCTACGTCATCCGACAAGTTGGAGGGCAATGGAAGCGCTAGGGGATTGCAAGCCCTTTTCCAGTTTCCTCGTCACCAGAGAAGACAGCTTTGTTCCTGGTCTGATTTTTGATAATTTTTTCTCTAAAAGTTTTCCTAGGTCTTGGCAAGACCCATGCTGCTTGTCGTCTTATTTATTATTTTTTCCTTTTTGATTTAAATATAATTTACGGTTCCTTTAAAAAGTTTAAATTCTTTAAGCTCACAGGTTCAACCCATAAGTTCTTGTACAATTTGACTAATAGCATACCGTTATTTATTTATATATTTTTTCTGTACATCGGAATTGCTTTTCCATTTTTTACACACTAATGTTTCAATATATGCGGACCGTCGGGAAATTGGAAAAGATAATTTAAAGTTTTTTATTGACATAGTTTATTTAATTCATTAAAAATTTGTCGCGCAAAGTTTCAATTGTCTGTTTCGGCGAAACGCGTAATGGAATTAGCTTGGTTCGAAATTCATTTTAAAAAATGTCCCTTGAAAAGCCAAAATGAACTTCGAATTGGGCTAATTAACCATTTACCGCTTCTTAATTTTAACATAATTTTTATATTTTACCTTGATCAATTGATAAGTATTTTACTATGTTCTATAATCTACTTTTTTCGTTTAGCATATAACCTACTATCTTTATTTTACCTCTTTCAATTAATTTGTTTTTTACGGTGTTAAAAATTACCTAATTTGTTTAGCAATTTTTTTTCTCCTCTTTCACACATTTCATACCAACCAAATGTGCTTATGTTGGAGTTTTCACTGAGCCACAGTTTTTGGTAACTTTTTGGCGTGCGTACTAAAATTTATCTCCTAAGTTCCAAAATTTTGCGCAACGCATTTTTTTGTTATTTTTCAAAATTTTTCTATACTCTATCCTTTAATTTTGCAGCACAATGCGCAAAATTTTGACCAAAATTGGTCTTTTTTCGTTTTTTCTTACAACCTTACTTATAATTATATATATATATATAAAATTATTTCCTAAACAGTATTGATTAATTGATTATATTATCTCCCTAAGTTTAATTAAAGTAGAATTATTTTAAAAGTGTGCATCCATACTGGTAAGTTATATTTTGAAAGATGTTTTGAAGTAATTTGAAAGCAAATGTTAATAATGTTTTAACGGGGACCGGAGTTAAATCATCACGATTTAAGTTCATACAACATTATATATATATATATATATATATATACTCTCTCGTTTTGTTTGCTGCTAGTTATTTATTTATTAATTTGAGAAAGAGAGTTTTTTACGAAAAATATTTAATTGATATGAAATATAACTTAATTAAATTAAGGGAAAATAAGTGTTTCTTAAAAGAAATTTTCACTAAATTATTGTGCATTGAGTAACTATTTTAAAGAAGGCAAGAATTGTAAGTTGGTTTAATTATGATTTTGGTAGGATTTTAAAATTATTAAAAATGAGAAATTGTTTGAAACTACATGAATTTTGTCCAGTGTTAATTATGCGAATATTGCAGAGTATATAATAAATAATTTGGGTATAATATTTATCGTTGTTTCGAATGTCAAAGGGAAAATTATGAGAAATTTTTATTTAATATTTTGTAGGGGTAGTCTGGCTAGCTATTTAAAATTTAAATTTTTGTGGAGTATTTAATAAATTTTTTTATTGATTTATTTTTGTATATTTTATTTTGAGTTTTTTCTGGTGGTCTACTGTAGCTCACCCATGTTATCCTTACGGAAAACATGGCTGTTTCTTTTCATTTCGAACCTGAGTAACTTAGCGGGTAATAGGAAAATTTAATTTTAAGTGTGTTGTAACTATAGGATTAAATTAAGTAATTTATCGGAACTGGTGATTGCCTTATTACTTGTGAGATTTATCTTTCCCTGGTGTTTTTAGGTTTTCTGTGTTATATTTAAATGTAAGATCTTTGTGGCTACCTCTAGAGTTCTATTGAAATTTATGTGTTTTCAGGAAAAAGAGCTGATATAGTTTTATTTTAAAGAGAGATAGTATGTTGATGATTTTGTTAGGAAAATGCATTTTCACATTTTTCTTTGATAAATAATCTGATTTTATTAAATTACCCGTGAGGATATTATCCTTTCATTATTGACTTAAAGAGTATGAGGCGTTGATCTGATAAACTTTTATTTTACTTTGTTGATGTATTTTAAATCTAACTGAAGGTTTTGCGATCACCAGCCATCTAAAAAGTTAAGGTATATTATTAGGAGAGTTTTTATGTGCAGCACCAGGTAGAGAGAGAAGAGAGTTTGTTGAGTAGTAACCCAGGCAATTTAAAAGCAAATTAATAATAACAACTTTCTTAAGTAACATAAATGAATAAAATAAACTTTTATATGAAATAGTATTTTTTTTCATCAAGGATAAATTATATTCAAAGCATAGTAAATATATTTGATATATAAATTCACGGTCACATAAGAATAGCAACATGAAAAATATAAATTTCAGGATTTATGTACCAATTACCATATAAAAGGGATTTAGGTACGAATAACTTTTTCAGTATAACGACTTCAGCAAACGAATATTTCATTCAAAATTGTATATCAACATATTTTGAGTATTAGTCTATCCTCAGTCCTTACTTTCGTCATATTTATTTTCACATGATATTAACTAAAGTGTCTCAGTGTTTTATTATGCATTAAAGGCCATTCGTCAGATTGTTGTTATTTACCCTGAAGTGTGCTGTTAATGTACCCCTATTGCATTAATGTACTGAGCTGATAATTAATTTTAAAAAATTCTGCAGAGGTATTTATGTTAAATTATATTATAGCATTTTCTGCATAGTAATGCAACTTAATTCCTCGGTTTAAGACTGTTCTATATCCTTTAATGCTTTGTTTTTGCTTAAATTTCAGCAACAAATTGAGAACCGTAAATTCTAATGTATATATATAGTATCACAATTATTGTTACTTAAAAACGTAATTATTCCAAATATTTCCACGCAATATGTTGCTGAAAATTTATCAGTATAGCGAAAAAGTCAGAAACTTAGAACCAATTTTACACAAAGACCCAAAAGAAGCGAAATTCAATACTAATAAATATCAAAATATTCTATAAATATGCAAAATAAGAATTAAAGAAATGTGAAACTAAAACCATAAAATTTTAAAACCTGAAAAAATTTACCAAAACCAGAAAAAATTCAAAATATGATATAACATTATCAAGAAGAGGAGGATATATCAGACTCAATTACTATCACCCGTCCACTTGGAAACCACTGAGCTTATGAATCCAAAATTAGACGATGAACTATACTAAAGTATTAAATTATAAGAGTTCATCTGAAAATTTCGAAGTCCTCCCGAGGCGTTGTAATTGAGACTGATGTATTTTCCTCTACATAACGTTATATCATTTTTTATTCGATGAAATTACTCTTCTTTAATGTTATTTTCTGGTCTGGGTATATTTTTTCAAGTTATTATAATTTTTCGGTTTTTGTTTCACATTTCTTTATTTTGATATTTATAGGATATTTTGAAATGTATTGGTATTGAATTTCACTTTTGGGTCTTTCTATAAAACTGGATCCGAATTTCTTACTTTTTTCCTCTCTCTATATATTTTCCTATGGCGGACACTAGCTATTATAAGCAATTGGCCACTACTAAGGCCGGAAGAGGTAGTCACTTTATTAAGAAATCACTTAATAGGTCCGCCGTCGTTGCCTTCTGTGAAGTACAATTTACATCCCTGCTTTCTCCGAGGTTCGTAATTTGGCCCTTCGGTATGGCAGACTGGATCATTAACAACTTTCTGATCTGGGTGCACTTCTAATATATTATTCTTTTTCTTCTTTTCAGCCGATCCACCAGTGATTACATCCCGCTTTGAAGAACAAACAGTAAATCCTGGCCATCCTGTTTCATTTCGATGCATTGCAAAAGGACATCCACTTCCTAAAATTACATGGACAGCAGACAGTGAGAGTATTCCCTCTTCTCCTCGTCTGAGACTTGGAGATTTTGTTACGCAGGATGGAAGTGTAGTGCACAGTTTTCTTAACATAAGTTCTGTAGAAGTGGGTGATGGCAAGGACTATGCTTGTCATGCTGATAGCGATTTCGGAAGAGCTTCTCATCAAGCAAGACTGAATGTTCCTTCTTCCCCGGTAGCGCGACCGCCTCAAAACAAAACAGCCTTAGTAGGACAGACAGCAGTTTTTGTGTGTCCAGTTGCTGGATATCCACTGACTCATTTTTCTTGGGAAAAAGGTATTTGCTTTTGTTAATTTTACTAACATATAATTTCTCTATCTGTTGTTTAGTTAGTTTGCATTCTAAATATATTCTGTCTGTTTAATGTTCTGTCATAATTTCACTACTTCAGAACAAAGATTTCTTTTTTGGTTTGATTTGGCTTATTTAATTATGCCCAAAGCACTCAAGGGCTATCTGCTTTCGATTGCTTTGACTAAGTGGAACGATGCTTTCATAGAGGACTTTCTAAGGAAAACTGGCTCTTATGCATGTTACACATAGGGAAATCCACGAAAACGCGCGTGTACCCAGACCCTTCAGTGGGATTCGAACGTCGGATCAAACTACCAATAGTCAGCGACTTTACTACTCGACCGTTGGTGGAGCAATGATTTCTGGGAATACCAACACTTTCTTATTTTGTTAATTGCTAAAGACAGTGACCATGTAGCAAATTATTTTATTAGTGGAAAACGTGTGTGGTTTAAGCTAGTACCGTGGCACAGAAACAATATAGCTGTAATATTTTTTATCCATAGTTGTTTCGCAAGATAATGTACAGCACTATATATGATAAACTATTGTTTCAACTATGTTTCGTATTTACTGTATGTAAAACATGCTCCTTAACCTTGCAGTATCATAAGCAAGACCCATTTTGGACATATCAGAGTTGTGTAATACTCGTTAAGCATACTGGTTTTGAAATGGAAATTTATATTAGGCTAGTTACTATTCAAAGTTATAACCGGGCTGAAATGGATTGGATGCACACAGAACAGGTGATAGATTTATAAAGTTTATTTTTGCCAAAAGAAACATTTTACAGTTCTAGAATTTTGTACTAAAATACTCTTCTCGATTTCGTACGGTACAATGAGTACACACTTTAAACTACTAAGAATGTTAAACACAGCCCAATACAAATCTCATCTAAAGAGCGAATCTCACACTGAAATATGAATCTCAATACTCCGTACTCAGTCCATAGGTATATAAAATTAATTTTTACCAAAAGAAAAGCATAACAGTTCTGGAACTTTCCACACAAACACTCGCATAGCTCTTTTCAGTTTCGTACAGTACACTCAATAGTTACAAACTATTAAGACTATTAAGCACACCCCAATGCAAAGGTCATACAAAGAGCAAATCTCACACGGAGATATCCCCAAACCCCTATTGAGTCCATAGTTGATTCTGAACTGAAAAACTTATGCTTTTCCCTCAACCGCTGAGAAACGTCCAGCAGATTCCACTTCTCAAAATCGCTGAAAGGCATATGAGGGCCGGAAGGGATCAATAAAATCTATTGAATGATAATACTCATTACAGTTACACATGGAATGGAAGAAAATGTCGCCAAATGGTCGCCAAGTTTGAGAATAAAAGTTCAAACCATCGCCAGGTTTAGCAGCAAAAATTCAAATCACCACCAAGTTTGGCAATAAACCCCAAACCATCGCCAAGTTTGGCAACAAACCCCAAACCATTGCCAAGTTTGCGATATCTCGCCAATTTAACCTAGATAGAAATTTACCTCAATCACAGATTTGTCCCTGTGATCACATTTTTTCAGCTTTCTCCCTTTGAAGCTTTGCGTGTCACATTATACAAAAAGATGTTAAAATTTCACATATATCGATAGTTTCATTAAAATTATTTTCATATAAGCAAAATTCGTAATAATATGTTTATGAAAGATTATTACGAAACCTAATGGAGAATTTGGAAGCATCATTGCATATAAAACTAATGTCAGATTATTATACAATTTAAATTATTATATCATTTTAATGTTTTAATTCATACACATACAAAAATGCATCTCAAAAATATATAATTTTAATATTGATTTACAGTTTAAATATTGTTGGGTGCGTACGGGTTCATAATTAATTGAATGCACAAGTCGATAAAAAGTTAATAAAATTTATTATTATTTCAAGAATAAATACAAATTGTTCAAGTCTCTTCAGAGATATTCGTACAATATTGCAATATCTCACAGTAGTTCCATTCTAAACTACTAAAACGTTCAACAGAACTTAATTGAAAACAGAGAAAGGTAATGCGATCTCACGGGGAATTCGCTACAATGATCAACAAAACTTAGTAAAAAATTGAATTGAGATTTTTTCCTCTAGCTTACTTCTCGTATTTTCTGGATAACAAAAAATACAATTACGAGATATCTATTTATTAAAATGTTAGATGCGCGTGCTCCTGTATTTTACTTTTTCCGGCGAAGCTTTCTTTTCAAATAACTCTCGTGCTGCATTGCACGAGAATATAAAACAATTTTGATAACAATTCCATTAAAATAGCTAACTAAATAAATACAAAATACGTAACAATATGCATTCATACATATGCATAGGCACATATATATATATATATAGAGAGAGAGAGAGAGAGAGAACAGAGTTTGTTTGATATATATATATATACATACTCATTAATTTTATTTACATACATATTAAAGAGAAAAATCTTCCTAAAAATTTATCATAAAGGAAACTAAATGATAGAAATTCATATATTTACAATCAAAACTAAAACATGGATAAATTTTAAAATACGTTAAATCATTTCTGCTGTGTTAAAGCGAGGGCTAAATCTGAGTACACTACCATAAGGTAATCAAAAATTAATTCTGATGATTTTTTTTATTTTTCTCGTTTTCTTTCTACCTAATGCATATTTAATAATGGAAAATCGTTGGTCGAAATGTGATACCGCTGTTAGTTACGCCAAACCGAATCGACATATCAATCCATCTTTTGAATCAAATCCGATTTCAAAAGCGTTAGTGCGAGAAAAACGATTACGCTTTATCTCACACCATGTCTTTCGAACGTCGGCGATCCTACCAATCAATGCTCATTATGTACCGAGCTCAATCGGAAAATGACTGGAAAAGAATTCCTGTTCATATGTTCATCAGGTTAAGAAATGAACTGAATTAAGTCAGACAATGAAATATAATACAGTTAACAAGTTAGCGATCAGCGTCGCAGACCAATTTTTTGATTCAAAGATACTTTAAAGTAAGCAAGGTTTTTAAAAATAGAAGAAAAAGAATTTTAAAAATAATCCGAAAGCTTTCGGATTTTTTATTACGTTTAAAGATACTTTATTTTATTTTACTTTTTGTTTGTTTTAATTGAATGATCCTAAATATAATGGCATGCTGTAACACCTTTATCATATATAATATTCTGTAGAAAAATTCTTTTTTCTCTTTCTAGTTCTGCGACATAGCCTTTGAAAATGTCTGAAAAAATAAAATAAAATAAAATAAATAAAAGGAAAAAAATAAAAACAGATCTGAAAGCTTTCAAATTTTACATTACGCCCAAATGGGCGTTTTTTAACGTTTTATGTGTTACCTTATTAAATATCATGTTCTCCACAAAGAAACCACATAAAATTCAATTCAACAGCAATATCACGAAGTATTCAAAAACAGTATATCTTTAGAATTTCCGATATACAGTATCGCGCGCTGCACATAAAATGTTGTTTTTTTTTTTTTTTTTTTTTTTTTTTTTTCGTACAGTGAAAATGGACAATCATTTTTTTTTTTTTTTTAAAGATTGATATGTGTGAAAATTTAAACACCACAACGTCTATCTATTTCACTGCCGAATTTAAAACTTAATAAAGTTAGATTCAGTGGAAAAATAGATGACATTTTTTTTTAAATCGTCAAAAATGGAAAATTACGCTCAAGTGATGACATTGTCCATTATGTGCGTTGGTACAGATATCTTAATCATTTGTATATTCCGTAGCGTATACACGAGCTGCAAGTTTCATGCTGTTTAGATGGTTTCTAAAAGGTCAAAAAGTCTATACAGATCAGTTATTACAGAATTTTTACGTTAAGGTAATAAAATAGAAAGCAAAATTTACTTTGAATCTTAAGCGTAATTTTCCATTTTTGACGATTTTTAAAAAATTGTCATCTATTTTTCCACTAAATCTATCTTTATTAAGTTTTAATTTCGGCAGTGAAAAAGATAGACGTTGTAGTGTTTTTAAATTTTCACACATATCATTCATTCGACATCTTTAAAAACAAATATGATAAAAAAACATTAAAAACTTATATACTCCCCCTTTTAAAGGCCGACTGGTGTTTTCAGGGAACCCAGTCGCCAAAATCCTGGGTGTGGAGAATCATCATCCACCACCCTTTTTAGTTCGGGTGCCACTTTGGAGACATTAGGTATTTTTTGGAAGAAAGAGAAAAGATAAATGAGCAACACCTTCACCGGGAATCGAACCGCGCACCTCTGAAATACGCGCCCAGCGGGCTGATCACTACACTACGAAGGCATGCTAAGAAGGTGGGAGAAATACCTTTTAAGTAATCAAAATAAAGCAGGCAACCCATGTCAGTACGACAACATGTGCATTTTCGCCTTTTGTTTTTATTATTCTAAGCGCATACAAAAAATACGGCGTTGCCAAACCGTGAAAAATAACTTTTACGAAATTTACCTTTATACAACCGTTGAGCAGCTCGAGACAAGGTAAATTGTCTTAGCATATTTAAATGCATGCGATATGCTCATATAAGATGTTTAGGAATTTCAAAAGAGCTTCCTTAAGGGCAAATCTTCCACCTCCTATTCGGCCAAATAACGGTGCTTTAAGGAAATAATTGCTAAGATCTACTTTTTTTTTTTTTTTCAAAATGTGGTATTAGAAGAGGTACAGTGTTTTTACGTCTATAAAATTGAATACTGTGAGGCACAAATTTCAACAATTCCGTAATCGACTTCTCTGCACCTTAAGCGATGGAGGGAATTAACTGTCTCCGTCTGGGATCTTCGCAGATGTTGAAGAGTCTATCACCGCTGAACCCGCACATAATCATTAAAGAGCATGATGCATATTTATCTACTCTGTGCTTCGCTTCCAAGTACTAATGCAGAGAAAGGCGTGTGTAACTATTAGGCACATAAGCTGCATTAATTTGCTTTATTCTTCTTCAGTTTCAGAAG